CAGTCGCCTCTACCTGGGTGAAGAAGTAGAAAAATTGTACACTTTATACCGAGAAAGATAAGAAACTGAATAACTACTCCTGCTGTCCCTTAGTAGGTAAATGTTTAAACCTTCTGGAGATAAAAAAGCGAACGCTGATTTTTACATCAGGTACTGATGTACCCGACATCCTGACAAGGTGGCCCCTTCAACTAGCCAGCTTCAGGATACCAGAATGCTATACTGCAAACAGCGTATTCAAAACCTTATCAGACAGACTTGCTGTATCGAGGGGCTCCAGCCACAGTGTTTTGAAATGTAGCAGCAGAAGGTCCTGGAATACTTCTCTCTTGGCAGAAATTAGATTTCAGTTGATATGACCTCAACTTGGCACAGGTTTTTGTTTCATAAAACCTTCAGAAAATTAACATACCACATCTATTTTAATGACATAATCCTGCACAAACTTGAAGTTATTCACAGCTGTGGTACCTATGACTATCAAACAAATTATGAGCAAAATAACAAATTAACACAAGCCAAGAAGAGCCACCCATATATTGCTTGACTATTTGCAAGAATCGTTTGTGTAGCAACAAGAAAATGATAGAGTGAATGTCACAACAACAAAAAAATAACATCTTTTGCTCTGGCGTGGTTTCACAAAATGGGTTACATCTGCTGTAACAACTCAAGAATAACATTTATATTTGCCTTCACTAGTTAAGGAATCTAGCTGCCTAGTACAACAGTAAGAAATAAATATACAAAATCAACCCAATTCTTTCACAGGGCTGTCGTATTAGGACAGGAGTCCCAGAATCTACCCTAGAATGCTTTACCAATTTTAGTACATGATAGTTAGAAATATTTGTGTTCTTCCATGACCCTTCTATATCAGTAAAACCTCCAAGAAAAATGCAACTTATATTTATAACAGAAATTATTTCGCTGGAAAACTTGATGCTGATTTGGTGCATCTAATCATATGTATGAATAAAAAGTCCTTTTTTGCACTAGTATAACCACACTGCATTAGAGACAGACTGAAAAGGTTTTTCTAGGGTAAACTTCACCTCTCACATTTCATGTTAGGGACACACCAGTGCTTATATGTATAAAAAAAAAAAAGGTGGAGGTTTTCATTAACTGTAACTGACCACATCCTGATAGAACATCATAACACTATCTTAAAAAAAAAAACAACAAACAAAACTAACTAAACCAAAACAAGAAAAACCAAACCTACCCCTACCCCCCTAAATTCTCAATTATGGATTTTATATTGCTTCTCCAAAAAGAAACTTCAGAGCAGGCTTATTTCATTAGGAACACTTTTCAGTCCACGTTGTAGCGACTTAGACAGCATGTGACTTTTTACAACTGCTGTTCAGCTTCTCTAGGCACAAGGGAGACAATACCCTCTCTTTAACAACTTCGGAGGACAAAGACACAATGAGGCTGTATACTCCAGTGGTAAGAGATCACTGAACATCTGAAATGCAAGTAATTTCATCAAGTGTATAGTGCTCCCTCATTTGAATCACAGGATTTTTGTATCTTACCTAACCCAAGAAGTTAAATGGCAGCAGTTAACACTAACAATATCTGATCAATTAGATGAACTTTAGGAGGAAACCATTCAATGGCATTTCACTTCTTTGTGCAAATAACATATTTTGGCAACTAAGGGGTGTGATTTAAAGATTCTGCAAGGAGGAAGAGAAAGAAGTGTGTTTACTTAGTGGTCTCTGCAATTTTGCATGTAGTTTGTTTTTCTGCTGAAGTAGCAAGTGCTTGAATAAGCCTTACAATAAGATGAAAGCTTCCAAAGTTTTTGCCTTCCAATAACAACCACATGTTTCCTTTTGAAAGCCTGGAACACAATAAAATAAAAAGCTCAGCTAATTTTTACTGATGCTGCCAGTTTGTCTTTCTGAAATATTTTAATGTTGCCTATTTTTTTGAGACGCTTTTTGACAGCCTAGGTTTCAGGAAAGGTACAGTATGGTTAACTACCCTTTGTTTATTCAAGCAGCTATACAAGTGCATTTACTGAAGCGCCCAGGGCCAATACAGGACGAGTATCCACTGATGAAAGTCTCCACTCTCGTAAAACATAGCAACTGACAGGACACGTGAGCATTTCTCCAACCCACCTTGTTTCGAACTAGTCCCACACCTAGACCTAACCTAGGGAACTCAGTCCCATACCTGCAATTGCCTCTCCGATATCTCTCGCTCAGTAGTTATTTCCCTTTACATCTCAGGCCTCTGGGTTGAAAATACCATGTTTTGGTCAGATAGGACTTCTGGTTTACAACAACCCAGAAGCCACCCATCATTGTCAACCCAGCATGAACTGCTACAAGTTGTGAGCTATGGCTCAATCAGGAGGTCCACAGTAAAGGACCAAGACTTTTTGCTGGTTCAATGTTGCTTTCAAATCACCTGTTAGTTTTGCCAGGCTACACAGAAATCGGGGATTAAAGATGCAGTGAGTTTACAAGTGAAATTAAAATGACAGAAGTTTTACATTACACACTTGAACTTTTATTTCTTTAAGTAGGAGTTAAAAAAATTCCCTAACACCCTTACAAGGTCCCCCTGGCACACATTTAATCAACATGCACAGTTCCCCAGTCTCTTACAGTTCACTTCACTTCACTGAGCCATCTACATATATTTCCTAGAAGTCAGTTTGCTTATCTGTATCAGAGAGGTACAACTACAAAGACAGCTTGCTCCTGTGGGGTAACAGAAATGTCTAGAACATCAAAAACAAAAGCATCATTAAGATACTTAACTCCAGAAACTTCAGGCAGGTTCTAAATTATGATCAAGACATTACATAACACACTGATTGATTAAAATAAGTTCCCATTTCTTCACAAATCAGTCCTAATCTTCCAACTAATATCATTAATCAATCACACTGCACTTATTTTGCAACTTGGTAGCATTTTGTACAATGCGGAATGCATTTTAAGCAGCAAAACAGAATCTTATTTTGGATTTCTTTTAAGGGTAGCATTTATGAATATTTGCTCTAACATAATGATGTCACTGTGCACTGCTCTATGGAACATTACTATCCAGTCATAACAGCTAGCAATTTGTAGAAGCAAACAGTCACAGATACACAAAACTAAAACCCTACAATTCACTTCAGTTGTGTATCATGTTTGACCAATTCTACAGACAAAGTTACAGTCCTGTGTCCAGTTCTGGGTTCCCCAGTATAAGAGACATGGACATATTGGACAGAGTCCAGTGAAGCACCACAGAGATGATTAAGAGACTGAAACATCCTTTCCTATGAGGACAGGCTGAGGGAGTTGGGCACAAACTGAAACACAGGAGGCTCCCTCTGAACATCCAGAAACACTTTTTCACTGTTAGAGTGACACAGATTTCCCAGAGAGGTTGTGGAGTCTCCATCCTTGGAGATATTCAAAAGCTGCCTGCTCTGGGCAACCAGCTGTAGGTGGCCCTGTCTGAGTAGGGGCGTTGGACCAAATGACCTCCAGAGGTCCCTTCCAAGCTCAACCAGTCTGTGGTTTTATACAGATATTTAAAATACATTTTTATATATATATATAATGAAGTCTTAATATACACTGCTTTCACACACACAAACATGTAAGCAGATAGTTAGAAACCAATACAAACACTAACTAAAACCAAGGATAAATTCATTCATCGCTGAATAATACGACTTAAATGTAGCACAACTACTTTGATGACTATAAATCAACTATGAAAGAGTACGCTTGCTGAGATACTACGATTTAAAGTAGCTAAATGCACACACCTTAAAATGGTGGTATTGTATAAGCACAGGCCACAGGAGGGCTGGACAAAAAGGCTTCCTGCAAGGAAATCATACTGTATCACTGATGCTCTGTTGGGGGATTAGGGAAAGCTGCTCTGTAGGGGGAATAGGGAAAGCTGCTCCATTCTAAAACCGAAAATAAGCATGCAGACATTCACTTAGTTGTATTAGCAATGTTAATTCAAAAATGCTGTTTTAAAGAAACCTCAGTGCTTGCCAAACTCTGGAAAACAAAGCCATTATGTTAGCATTTGCTCTGTCATCAGATGCAGGCATCTCTAAGGCAAGACATCAGTCTGCTTAGCATAACACAGAACAGCAATGCCAGACCCCCCCAAAAAAAGTGACTTGTAGAACAGAAAATAAAGACTAATGTTATTCTAACTAAAAAATTAAACAATAAAAAAAAAAACAACTGCAAATCCAGAAAACAGAAACTTTCAGCAATGACATAAGTGTACTTGGCACCTCGCCAGGATGCCTGGTTCATAGCAGATTGCAAAGAAACACAATTTTCATTGGCAGCCTTCTGGATAAGAACCAATTAAATGAAAGTTTCCTAAAATAGGGCTCTAAGTATTATAATCACACAGCTAGATATCTATGACTAAATCCCTAAGAACTGCATATCCCTATAAACTGCTGGTTTTATGACCAGAGAGTAACCTTTAATACAGTAGCATACAATAACATCATCATGCTAGAGCAAATATTCATGAACAGTCAAAGGAAAAGAAAAAAGGAATACATTGGAAACAAGATTCTATTTTTCTCTCTTTCAAAGAGGAGACATGTAGTGGATAGGATAATGTGTAGGATAATATGTAGTAGTATTTCACATTTTTAAGACAGAGCTTTGTCAAATTACATTGCTTTTAAAAAAAGTTTCAATTTTTAAATAATCAAGGCTGTAAGAGCCTTGATCGCTAGCATTCCAATCACAATACTCCCAACTTTCCTATTAAACACTTAGTAGATTATACTAAAGAAAACTTCCAAACAGCATTTCTGAAAGTTTAACTTGAAATAAGGTTAGTATTTTTCTACAGCTTAGAAAGACAGAATGAAAACTTTGTCTTCAGAAATAAAACCTGAGTCAGAGTGGAAAAAACCCACTATTGTTTGTATATTCTTTGTCCGAAAATGCAATGGTAAATTCAGAAATTACGCTCCTCAGACTTCTTACCTTATCATTTTTTTTCCCAGATTTCTTCTTCTTAGAATTATCCTTCCAAAGAGATTCTACAGCAATATATCCCTGAAGACTCCAGTCATACAGCTGTGTACCAGCAACCTTTGAAACAAGATATTAGAAAGCATGAACTTAATAATTTGGGAAATATTATTTTGCTTCTTGTTTAAGTAGAAGAAGTCTCAAAACACAAGATCTTTAACATCTTCCTGTTCAAGCGCAGGGTGCCAACATTTATAAACATCTTGAAAAAAAATGACATATGGAGAAAAGCCAACTTGTTAAAAAACTGTTTGAAGACTACCTGAAAATATATATGTATAAAAACGAGTGGAAGGACGCTGCATGGGAACAATTCTGGTTTTCTTAGTATTCAATGTTCAACAGATTGAACATATGCAAATTATTTCTTAATTTGACAATACTAATTTTAAAGGAAAAGAAAAATCCTCTACTTAGTGTGTCATTATTTTGCAATTTTACATTTTCATTGCTTTAACAGAACAGTAAGACTATCCCTTTGTTTCTTCTTATTTGCTATTTAGAATAAAGACCTAATTTGCTGATAGATGGCTGTAATGAATTATCAGCTGTCAACTCTCAAAACAGAAAACAGCTAGGAAAGACGGAGTTTGCTATACTACACAAACAGTTTTAGGTCAGGAAAAATCCCTGAGTCTAATAAAAGAGTGTTTCCTGCCGCTTACATGATATGGAACTGTAAAATTCACAGGACACTTTAAAACTCAAGAGTGTTAGTTTTTTACAGCTCCAGACTCGGGTCAGTACTCACTTTCATATCACTATCAGTTTTCTTACAAATCAAGAAGAGCAAAAATGGACAATTTGCCCAACTAGGCAGCTATTAAACTAAAGAACTTATGAAATCAAGAAATAAGAAGGTATCACCCTGCCTCCCACAGCAGGAAAACCAAAACAATGAGAACGGGGCAAGTGTATGATGCTTCTGAAGCAGTTTCTGAATGAAATTATAAGTTTCTTCCAGCCTCCAACAACTCACTGCTCAGAGATTTCCTGAGCCAGAGTTGATTTCTATGTGTATAACAATGCCCAAGGAACTTCACTCCTGTGTGCTTGTTCACTTTGCCTTGAACCCCATGCAAATTTTTAGCATCCACAACATGCTGTGTCAACTGCTGGACACACACGGTGCAAAGAACCCCTTCCCTTTGTTCATCTGAACAAAATTAACCACACCAGTTATGTACCACAACGGTAAGGGATGTGTTTCTGGGCAGAGATCATGCTACTACTACCTTACACAAGAGGCTATTTAATAATTAGTATTAAAACAAAACAAACCCAAATCAGCACCTACATTGCCGAGTCACAAATAAATATAAAATGTAGGCTGTTCTAAATACAAAGAGCTAGCATATTTGTCACATTTGACAATTACAGTTGTGCTTTAGTTTTATGCAAGTCTGTATGATGCACGGAGTTTTCTCTATATCTGAAGGTGATAAAGGTCATCAGAAAAAAAGCACGCAGTGGTCTGTGGATGAATGTGTTAAATCTCAAAAAATTTCTCAATTCAAACATTGCAGGTATAGAGAGTTATCTTCTTTTTCAGTATCAGGAGTGTTCATTCTCAAGAACTTCAACACATAAGTTCTGACAGTCAGAGGAGCCTATGGCTCATCTGGAAAAATAGTGCCATCAGTTGCGCAAGCAGTACAAACCTACCAGGTCTGAAAAATAACCTCAATAAATGAACAAACAGGGGTCTTTCTGTCTGCAATGTTACTGAGGACACAGCTACCAACAAAAAATATGAAAATAACAGCAACTATGCTGTCCTGGTTTGAGCGACACAGTATTAATTTCTCTTCTAATGCTTGGGAAAACTGCACTTTTAGAAGACTCTAGTGTCTGAATTTGTGAAAATATTTACTTTACAGCCAGCTATGGTGTGTGGGTTTCAAGGTCTCAGTGTTTTTGAGTTAGCCAGATGCAGGGATGAGGAGGAGCAAGACCCGGGCACTTGACCCAAGCTGGCCAACAGGGTTATTTCATACCATGGACATCACATCCAATATAAATTATAAAGTTTGCTGTAAAGTTCCCTGTCCCTTAATGGCTGCAATCCAGAGAACTTCTTGCCTGTGCCGGACCCCTGAGGCCTTTCCTTCCTCCCAAAGCCATAGTGCTCACAATGTCTGACATTTGCTGTCCACTGCTGGGAGTGCACAGCTTCCTACTAATAGAACTGGCTGAGCATAACCTTGTATATTTTATATTGGTATCAGGATCAGTATTGGTTCTTTAGTGTTATTAATGTTAATTATCTAGTCTTATTCTATTAAATCTCTTTATTTTTCAGCTCCTGGGCTTCTTTGTTTTTTCCCCAGATTCCCCATCCCACATGCGGAGTGGTCATCAGGTGACAGAATAATTGTCTAAATGACAATAAATTGTTGTGGGTTTCTCAAATCACAATGTATGCATAAGCCATTTCCTGTTCCTGCTTAAAAATACTCCATTAAAATATTTAAAACCACTCCAAATACCTAACAGTACAAACTTAAAAATATTCTTATTATAGGAGTCATACCATCAAGCGAATTATGAATTGCGCTAAATGAGAACTGGTCATTCTTCCTCCCAAAGCCATAGTGCTCACAATGTCTGACATTTGCTGTCCACTGCTGGGAGTGCACAGCTTCCTACTAATAGAACTGGCTGAGCATAACCTTGTATATTTTATATTGGTATCAGGATCAGTATTGGTTCTTTAGTGTTATTAATGTTAATTATCTAGTCTTATTCTATTAAATCTCTTTATTTTTCAGCTCCTGGGCTTCTTTGTTTTTTCCCAGATTCCCCTTCCCACGTGTGGAGTGGTCATCAGGTGACAGAATAATTGTCTAAATGACAATAAATTGTTGTGGGTTTCTCAAATCACAATGTATGCATAAGCCATTTCCTGTTCCTGCTTAAAAATACTCCATTAAAATATTTAAAACCACTCCAAATACCTAACAGTACAAACTTAAAAATATTCTTATTATAGGAGTCATACCATCAAGCGAATTATGAATTGCGCTAAATGAGAACTGGTCATTCGTGTTGCTGGAGTAAAGCATCTACACCACAAGGTACAGCAGCCCAGATAGCTTAGTTTGCCACAGTCAACCAATGCTTCAACACCATACACACTTCCCAAAAGCTGGGACTGCCACACACATTCACAGTTCCTGTGGGTTGAAAACCACAATTCTAGATAGACTGTAAGCTGC